ACTAGAACCTGTTAGTAAATGACCTAAGCTGACTTTTAAAAGTGTAAATGATTTAAAGCAGAAGGGTGGAGGCCTGGATGAGGAAATGGAAGCCTCCACTGTCTTCCAAGGACATGTGGCTAAATGGAATCTGAGGGCACTTGAGGGCACGCGTCTAAAGGACTTGTTCTGCCCTAACTGGGCCACCATCCAAAAATGTGACTAAAACGGGAGGCTGGGGGGAAGCCTTGCTGGCTCTGTGGGGCGACAGCCTGTGCAGTTGCACAGGCCCCACGCCGAGCAACGCCCTGCTGACTCAATGCCCTGCTGATGGTATGTATCTTGGTGGCATGGATGCGAGCGAAGGAGAGGTACGCAGTGTGTGTGTCCCCGTTCCATGCTGCCTCATTTGACCTAGTGTTCATGATGCCCGTGAGCACAGAATTCCATTGAAAACTGTGATGATGCAAAGCAGAAAGTGGACACTGGACAGTGAAGTCACTATCAGTTGGATGGTCTTTGATTAATTTTTTCAGATGGGGGAACAAATTTTCATTGATAGTAAAGTATGGCTGACAAAAAGCTTTCAAAACATGAGATCCGTGTTGAAAAAAAAAAAAGAATCCGTAAGTTGGGACAAGAGTGAGAACCACTGTGGGTCATCCTCTCTGCCATCAAAGACAGTCAGGGAACTACTTCAAAAACGACCAGGGACCCGTCCAAGCAATTTCCCTTAACACTTCCTGAACCTTTGAAACATCCTCAATTCTTGAATTCTTGGTATTTTACAGTAAAGCTCCTTCAGCCTTTAAGAAGGCGCAGCGTAAACCGGAGAGAAGCTGTTCTCATACGGCTGTGTCCGTCCCCACAGCTGTGGCTGGAAAGGCACCCAGAGGGGAAAGGAGTGCTCCGCTGCCCTGGGGCGGTACCAGCAGGAAGCCACATACCTACCCCGACACTGACAGGGGATGTGTGTTTAGACACAGCGAACAGCGGGCACCCTCCGCCAGGCCCCTTCTCACCATGAGCCTTTTCCAAGCCGTTCACTGCTGTCATTGGACACTTGGGTGCTCCATGCCCTTCTACTGAGTTGAGCTTTCCAGGCTTACCAGGCTGGGAGTGACAGATCATTTCCTCGGTGTATAGGATGAGGAAACTGAAACTTAGTGAGGTCATGTAACACACTCAAGGCCACACGGGGAGGCAGCCGCGGTGCCGGGATTCCAGGCTGGACTGTCTGACCCAGAGCTGGGCTCTCTGCCCACAGCCAGCACTCATGTCACTTGCCTTCTCTGAACTCCAGCTGTGGCTGGGGTGAGCGCCACACAGTTTGCACTGTTTTTCCATCTCTTCCTGGGAGTGACTTTAATCTCCCCAACAACTAGATGCTTGGAGATCAGGGAATGGGTCTTTATGTATTTCTCAGGCCTGAACAGTCAAGGCTCCGAGCAGGCAGGGGGTGGATCCGTGTATACTGATCCCCTCACCAAATTCTGTCTGCTCTGCACTGTGCTGTCTTGTAAGTGCATACCTTATGGGCCCCAGAACCCACAAGAGCCAGCCAGAGCAGGGCAGACAGACGGCAGTCAGCGGTCCAAAGGCATTAACTAGGGTTCCGATCTGTACTCACGCCTCTGCTCTCCACTGCCCTCCACAGCCCCCCTCCTCAACTAACCACCTAAACAACCCAACGCACAGCCAAACTTGTTCTCCATCCGTGGGTATACTATTAATATAGAACTTTATATCTAACTAACGTATAATTTTATGTATTATATAGCTCTATTGTAGTATACATGGGCTAGACTAGCTGCCATGGGGTTTAGTAAAGGTGGCAGTAAACACATATTCTGTTCCCCAAACCTGGGCACAGTGCTGGACACAGGAGTCTCTCTGCTATCTGCACACGTATTTATAGGACGAGACAACACGAGAGTGTTTTCCGTGGAGCTGACGTGGCTGCTTGAAATGTGGGTCAGGGTGAGCCATCATGGTGCTGTCCTCTAGGCCCAGGAATCACGCAGACAGAAGCGTTCCTCTCCACTGCCAACTACTCAAGAAAAACGATACTGAGTGGACGTCTCCTGGGCAGGAGGCACGTCTGGGCACTTAGCCTGGGACCACACCCAAGGGAAGGCAATGACAGACACAGTCACCCTGAACAGGCAGCTTTCATCTACCAGCGTGTGGCTTAGCCAGCCTGCGGGTATTCAGTGTGTCTTCCCTGTCCAGTGCTCGTTTCACGTGGGCGTCAGAGTTCCATACTGACAGTGGAGATCTGTCAGTATCCCTCATGGCTGTATTGTGTGCAAAATAATTTTCATATTAACCTTGATCAAAAACCCAGGAAATTAAAGCAGTTGCGGAAAAACACCCCTATGATGAAGCCCCTGGCCAAGCAGGAGTGATCTGTGGGAAAACCACTTCCAGGGTCTAACTCCCTGCCTTTGGTCCAACTTGAGGGCAGGTGTGCATGACTTCCAGTTGGAGTGCTACTACTTCAACTTGCAGTTGAAGAGGCCCCTAAAGTCTTCTGATACAATGGGTTTCTAGTTTTATTTTAACAGGAGGGTGTTTTCTTCAAAGGAAATCCTACCTGGAAGCCAACCTGAGACTGACCTCAGACTGATCCTGAGCTGTTGGTGTGAGGGACCCAAGGCCCAGCCTATGGAACGCGCTCCTCCCCCAGAGGCTCCTAGAAGCACAACTTGAAAAACATGCAGCCATTCCCCTGTATTAAGTCATTCACTCACTCATCAACACAACCTTTCTCAAGCACCTACTGTGTTCCAGTGCTGGGGAGCCAGCAGGTAACAGGAAGAGGGGGGAGGCCCCACTCTCCCAAAGCTTGGAAGTTCATTGAGACAGTAGTAAGCGCTCTGCAGGAATTAGATCAGGGAGGCAGTTGTGGCCAGGAGGTGGCTACTTTAGCCTGGGGATCAGGAAAGGCCTCTCTGAGGAAGCGAAACATGAGCTGAGAGCAGAAGTACAATTGGAAAGATGACTTGATTTTGATCAGTGAGGAAGCAGGCACAAAGAGGTGACGTGACCTTCCCCCAGGTTACACAGCGGGTAGGAGGCCAAGTTGGGACTTCACCCTGGGTTTCCAGGCTTCCTGGCCGGCTCTCTTTCCTTTCACAATGTTTACCAAACAGCTACTACATTCAAAGAAGCCTCGGTGACAGGTGATACCCAGGAGCTGACAAACCAGCAAACACTTCCTGGCGTTTGGGGCTGTCTGTCATGACTCTGGACGCCTCCCAGCCCTCCTCAGCCGCTTATAGTCTGGGGGCTCTGTAACCAGAAGACAGCACCCTGCAGTCAACATCCCTGGCCCGAACCTTGGTTAGGAAAGCTTCTTCCTCTCTTATCTCCCTGGCTGCTGACTGTGGAGAGGGTTCCATGCTACTTCCATTGTTGGTATGAGGATAAAAGCAAGACTGTGGGTACAAAGCCTCCTGGATCACCTGGAGGAAGGCTATCTGGAAATCAGGCTCTCTGGGGCCAAGACTTACAGCCAGCCATGCCACATCCCCCTTCTGCTGCAGAAGGCATTCACACAAAAACTACACACAGCACACAGACCTGTCTGCACCTCACACACCCAGAGAACAAAGTGCTCTAGGCAGACACTTCCATTATGCTGAATGTCACAGGCAGCACCATGCAAATAACCCCCTCTAGGACCCACAAACCAAACAGCTCCAAGCCCCCAAGCATTCCCTACACTTCCCATTGGCACCCGGTGAGCCCAGCATTCGCCCTGCGGCCTCAGAGCCTTACCGCAGTCCAAGCACTTTCTAGGCATTAGCTAACTTGAGCTTCCAGCCACATCACAAGGGAGGCAGGACAGTGGTTATTAGTCCCATTTTGCACATGAGGCAACTGAACCCCAGCGTGACCTTTGCAGAGTGACGGCTACTGACATCGTGACAACCACTAAAATTTGGTTCAAACACAGGTCTCCAGACTCCAACTGCAGTCTTCCCACTATAATGCAGCTGCCCACAAATTAAACACAGGCCACTCACTCTGGCCTCATTCTCTTCTCCACCATTCCACCTCCACCATCTGCCCTAGAGCATACCTAGGAGTTTTTCCAGAAGCTGCCTCTCCTTTCCATAACACCCCTGCCTCACAATGTGTGCCAATGTCCTGGAGACGTCTGTAGCACTGACTCCTGTACACTCAGCAACTCACACCCAAGTCGAGATGCTCTCCTGCCCAACCCAACTGAGCCCTCCTCCCTTTCATGTTTCCTAGCCGATGCATGCATGTGAACACCGCACCTATCACTGGTGAAAACAATACACTCTGGAACCTTCCACACTTTCTTCCTTTCCATACCAAACTTGCCAACTGCACGTGTAGGAATTGGCAGGCAAACAGGTGACAGGGCCTGGAGAACCATGTTCCCCCAAATCCACAGCTGTGCCCATGGGACTGTTGGACAACCCTGCACAGGCAGGCAGACCCCCTGAGAACTATTGTGTGCAGGCATGAGATGCACCAGCTGCCAGCATTTAGCAAACCCTGTTTTGCATGGGGAACAGAGCCAAGGACTGTACAATTTTAGCTAGAATCACTCTGGACCTGTCACCTCAGGCTTATGCTTAAGAGCCAGCAACTAGAATTCAGGGTGGACAAAGAGAATGACATTTTGAAGAGGGACCGACATACACTGAGCGCCCTGGACAGCACTGAGAGGCCCAGTACTCTTTCCCAAGACCCTCGGGCAGAAATCAGGAACATCGTTATAAGCAGAAATGCTGGGGACCCCATATAGACATCAGTGTGTACACACACACATCCGTCCTGAGTGTTCCCAGAATTCCTGCCCCCATTCCTCATCCGAAATCAGCTTGCTCCGGCTCACCGGAGCCCTGCGCGGTCCAGCTCTGAGGACCAAGCAGGGGCAGTGGGGGCACCTTCTCCCTGCGACCCGCCGGCCTCTCGGGGTCCCCTTCCTTTTCTCGGTCCCCCGCCCCCACGGGCCCTGCCGAGCCCAGCGCTGCACTTACCGGCCGTGGGCCGCAGGGCTCCGTTTGCAGCCGGGGGAGCAGAGCCTAGAGGCGGAGCAGCGACTCGCAGGGCCGCCCCCTGTCCACACGCCTCGCCGCACTCCTGGCCTCCCCACCCGGAGAGGGTCAGGGTGCGGGCACCCTGCTCCCCGCCCGGCGCCCGTGGGCACTTCCTGCCGGCCAGAGCTTCAGCCCGCCCCGCCCCCTCCAGTTCCCAGGCTGGCTCTCTCCTAGCCGGCCAGCGGGCCTCCCCAGAAGCCCTGTGCAGCCGCGTCTTTGTTTGGGAGTTGGCTTTTCTTCAATTCACAGCACACAGAGAGAATTAAGTCCGAGTTAGGGGCAGCTGTGCAGTTGCCCGGGGATCCTTGCTAGGAGGGGGTGGGGATAGGCTGGGGGTGGGGCGGCTTACACAACATGCCCGTCTGCCCATTGCCTCCTCCCCTCACCCCGGGACTCTCTGAGGTCTCCTTGCACCCTAGGCCGGCCCATGGTGGAAAAGGAAAAGAGCTGGGTCCCGGGAGAAGCTGGCTCCTGGGGACTCTCATGACAAGCCTGTCTGATCACAAAGAGCCTTTCCTCTGCCCTTTCTCCCCCCCGCCCCCCACCTCCCCCATACACAAGGAAGACTCCTATCAGGCTCTCTTTCTCTGAGAGTCCTGCTGACCATCAACCTAACATTTCCTGGGCTCGGGGAGAATCAAAATCTCTTCCTAGGCCGGAGAAAAGGGAAGATTAGGCAGAGAGGCCACCTCCCTGTGCCCTGGCAGGGAGCTGGGGCAAAGCTGCCTGTAACTGGCTGTGTTCTAACAGTGGGGCATGCCTGATGCATTATTTCCCAAAGCAACAAAGGCCTGTGCTTATCCAACCATGTTCTTTTGAAACTTGACTACACTGAGCAAGGTTACCCATTTACCAGGTTGCTAGGTCAGGGAAGCCACCAAGGAGACAGAGAGCTGACAGAGGTAGGGCCAGCCTTTTAAATACCCAGGGCTGCTGAGAAAAGATTAGCAGAGGGGATGTAAAGCAAGGGTCTCAAAAGATGATTGCAATGGTCTCTGTGAAAGGAAGACCTGTAATGGAGGGTAAAACGGAAGATGCAACACAGGGGGTCTGCAGAACTCCCTGTGAGTGTTGTAGGAGGGCTGGAGAGGGGGGGTCTCAAGGAAGAGGACCATGGTGGTGCTGTGGGCGTGGAAGCCGGAGGAGGACCTGGAGACACTTGAAGCTGAGAGAAGATGAGCTGGAGGGAGAGTATAGACAAGGCAGAGAGGGCTGAACAGAGGAGAGAACCCAGGTCTAAAAGGGCAAAGGAGCCAACGAAAGAAACAAGACCGTCCAGGGGGTCAGCACATGCAGGCACCAGAACTCAGGAGAAGAGGGCTTGTTCAGTGTGAGCCTGTGCTGCAGGGAGCCAATTGGAGGGTGCCAAGAAAACAGGAGAGCTTTGGGGACTTTTGAGAGAATTATTTCAGTGGTGAGGAGTATAAACCGAATTGCCCCTCTTTGGGGGCGTTTGGATCAATAGATTCCTACAGGGATCCAAAGGCACATCCCCCTCCATTCTGGAGGATCCTAAAGGGCCATCCCAGCTCCAGGGCTTTGCAAGGGATCAGCGGAGGCTTCTGTGGAAACTGCATCTGCCCAATCCTATTTCCTCCCTTTCTTACAGGCACCTCCCAATAGACCTCCTGCATGCAGATCTCCATTTCCATGCAGAGTCTGTTTCCCAGAAATCCAACCTGAGATATAAGGTCACTGAGAAAAGGGAAAGTGGGAGAAAGAAAAGGTGGGATGGTTACTAGACTTCTGCGGTGACCACTTTGTGAGGTATATAAATGTTGAATCACTATGTTGTGCATCTAAAACTAATACAATATTGTATGTCAACTATAATTAAAAATAAATTTTAAAAAAAGAACATAAGAAAAGAAAAAGTGGATGGTGGTAAAGAAGATGGCATGAACATCCACACACGCCATAGGGAGGGAAGACCAAGCAGCATGGTGGGAGAGGGGCCTGAGCAAGCACAGAACATGGTGGCTTCTCCCTCGGACCTTCTTGCGAGACTTCTAATGAAGCAGGCCTCTAATGCAGACCTTGACCCCTAATGAAGCAGCTTCAAGAGACAGATTGTCAAAAAAAGTCAGAGAAGGTGGCGTTGAAGGAAAAGACTGAGAAATGGGGAGCTAGAGTTATTCATATGTGATCTGATAATTAAGTTCGCAAATTTGTTGCAACAATGTTGCTAACCTTTTTTTGATATCAGAGGGACTATTTATTATGAATTTGTACCAAATGGACAGTTAACCAAGTTTACTATTTGGAAGGGCTGAAAAGGCTGCGTGAAAAAGTTAGATGACCTGAACTTTTCGCCAACAATTCATGGCTCTTGCATCACGACAATGCAGCAGCCCACACGGCACTGTCTATGAGGGAGTTTTTAGCAAGTCAACAAATAAATGTATTGGAACACCCTCCCTACTCACCTGATCTGGCCCCAGTGACTTCTTCCTTTACTCGAAGATAAAGGAAATATTGAAAGGAAGACATTTTGATGACATTCAGGACATCAAGGGTAATACGACGACAGCTCTGATGTCCATTCCAGAAAGAGAGTTCCAAAATTGCTTTGAAGGGTGGACTAGGCATCGGTGCATAGGTTCCTAAGGGAAGTACTTTGAAGGTGACCGTAGCGATATTTAGCAATGAGGTATATAGCACTTTTTCTAGGATGAGTTCATGACCTTAATTGTGAGGCCTCATAGTAGAATATGGGTTTTCAAAGGATGGGTAGAGAAGAGAAGAGTGGGGCAGACCTTTAGAGAGAGGATATTGCTGTAGGTGGGGGAAGGATGAGGGAAGTGCGTGTTCACTAAAGTTAGTAATACTAAAGCAGTAATTAGGAAAGAGAGGGTTGAAAATGTTCTGGAGGGACCTTTTAGCAATATGAACGGGCAAGTGATCGATCCAGATAGAACCTCTGGATCAGGATACCCTGTCTCTAGCACTAGTCCCAGTAACGTTAAACATCTAGAGCAGTGACCCAACAGAAATATGATATATAATTTAAAATTTCCCAGTAACCACATTTAAAAATGTGAAAAAAGAAACAGGAGAAATTTATTTTAAGGATACATTTTATTTAACACACTATATCTAAAATATGATCATTTCAATGTGGCTCAATATAAACAACTATTAATGAGACATTTTACATTTTCTCCCTACCAAGTCTTCCAACTTGGGTGTGCATTTTACAGTCACAGCACATCTGAGCTCAGATACTAAATTTTCATTGAAACACCTGATCTGTATTTATATTTCATAACATTTATGGTTGAAGGAGTAGATTTACAAACCTAAGTAGCTGCATACCTACTTATACTGTCCAATAACGGAATCAAACGATCAGTTTTGAAATTTAAGTTTACATTAATTAAAACTAATTTAAATTGAAAAATTCAGTTGCACTTAGCACATTTCAAGTCCCCAGTAACCACAATTGGCTAGTGGCTACCACGCCAGATAACACAGGTCTTGAAGATATGAATTCTTAGACTTCTGGATTTGGGTCTTTGTTTTGTCCTTACTTTCTATGAAAAAATGGACTCCTGGCTACCAACCAAGTCCTGTTCCACTAACAAGATTCTAATCGGTTCCATCTTATTTCACAGAACGCACTTGAAGAAGATGAGGGAGAAGGTTGGAATCCAACCTCTGCGGGGAGCAAAATGGGGGTTTGGCGTGGACTAGATGAGGAGCGAGGAAGTGAGATATGAGTTGGAACCATTCCATCCTGATTGTTATTCTGTGTTCACATGAGGAATGTGGTGGTTTCTTTGCCAAGTTGGGTGCTCCAGAGATTGAACCGACAATGCACAAGACAACTCTGGTTGGTGTGAGCTCCCATGTTAGTGGTTCCCCTTGAGCTTGGAGCACTGGCTGAGTCACAAGCATTTGGGTGTGGCTGCTAAGTCTGGGCTTCATTTCCTGCCATCTGCAAAGTGGGGAGAGTAATCTCTTATTTGAGAACAAAATGGGCGGGACCAGCGAAATCCTAAGTATCAAGCTGCAGTGAAGGAGGAGTGTGAGTCCCAGATTTGGGGACCTGTGTGCCTCACCCAGCCGGTGGCACATGTCAGCCCTGCTGGGGGTGGCAGCTTCTGCTTTCAGTTCACATTCTGGCACCGTTTGCCTGCTTTACATCCGATAGATCCATCATGACATGCTGGAGTGATGGAAGTTGCAGAGACTCATTTTTAAGATGTAAAGAGAATAATAACAACACTTAGACTTCCTTCCTTTGCTCTGCAAGGGCCCAGGTGTATTACTTGTGGGTACTGGGTAGATCTGGTGGGACCCTCTCCACACCAGCCCTAATAGCCTTGCTTCCCAGCAACAGTATCTTATAGCAATTCCTAGAAATGGAGGCACAGAAATACCACTTTTTGGGTGGATGGTTGCACACACACACACACACACACACACACACACACACACGTGTGTGACACTGATGAATATGATCTGGTATTATTTACACCCCGAGGATATATGGCATTCAGGTTGTACCCTAAACCCTCACAGGTCAGGAAATGAAAGATTTGAATTTCTCCATCCCTGAGTAGCAAGCCTATATTTCAAAACAATTTCCAGTCACTACCTAGGAGGGTTGCAACCTCTTCTTCTGCTCCTGACACTCCTGCTTGGTTTAGCTGCCATCCTGATGTGGCCCTGATAAGCGGTCTTCGCATAGACTCTGAGCCATTCCCAGGAATAACGGCTATGTTCTTGGAGGTAGAAACACTCACGTAGAAAGCAGTTCCTCTATATACACATCACATAGCTTGCCTGACTCAGCCTGTTTCCCCATCTTTAAAATGGGGAGAAACTCATGAGATTTTTTTTCTACCATCTTAGAAAGTGGAAACTGCCCTTGGTTCCTTCATCCTTGTGAAAAATAGAGCTAACTAGCCTCTAGTCAGCACCTTTTCCTGTTCCAGGGGACTGGGGGATGACCAGATATTAAATATTAATCAGTTAATATTAGCTTGAATTCAACCTGCATTTAACTATGAACGTACTCATTTTTGCAACAGTACCTGGTGTAATAGGAGGTAGCTAAGAAATGGTTGTGAAATTGAACCTCACAGTCTCAGGTGTAATTCTCATGAAAAAGATGTTACTTGAAATA